TGTGTGTGTCTGGGTGTGTCGGCGGGTGCGGGGAGCGGTGGTGCAGCGGTTAGCGCACTGCGCTACGGACCTGGCCACCCGAGTTCGATTCCCGCTCACGGACAACATCGGTGACGATTAGCTGAAGCGGTCCTGGGCCTCCACTAGGTCGACTCAGCCTCAAATGAGTACCTGGTGCGATGTGTAAACATCGCCGCTGGGGAGACAAAGGCGGCCGGGCGTGGTGTTGGCCACCCACCCTCTCGTGTGCCGTGCCGGCCTTCATAGGTGCTCGCTAACAGCACTTGCCCCAACAGTCTGTTAAGGCTATACGGGGGATCTTTGTGGTGGGGAGCGGTGGTGCAGTGGTTAGCCCACCGCGCTACGAACCCGGCGACCCGAGTTCGATTATTCCCGCTCACGGCCAACATCAGTGACGAATATCTGAACCGGTCTTGGGTCTCCCGCTAGGTTGACTCAGCCTTAAACGAGTAGGTGGTGCGGTGTTCAAACATCAGCACTGGGGGAGACAAAGGTGGCCGGGCGTGGTCTTGGCCACACCGCCCCTTCATAGGTGCTCGCAGACTCAATTATGTGTTGTGATAACCTGCGTTGTTGCTTGTGCTTTGTGTGTGGGTGCCGCTTCTTAATTAGTTTATTCATTTTAGATTTCGTTTGGTGGTAGGTTTTGGGCTTCTGTCGCGCCGTACGTAGCCAACCGCGTAAATTGAATTTGGTCCTCATATATAATTAATTTGCAGCGTTGTGGGATGCTGTTGGCGTGAATGACGACGCTATATAAACTTAAAGTATTATTATGGGTATTCCTCGATTTACGAAAGGGATGCGTTCTTCAAAAATACTCGTGTAAAACTAAACTTATTATTTGACCAGGTAAGCCCCACTGAACTATTTTTCAGAAGCTATCTGGCCACACTCGATAGCTCAACGAAGTGGCTTATCGCGTGGACATTTATAGCAGCCAAATACTCTAAACTCACGTTTCTAAATGTGGAGGGTAAATCCGGAGGACCCGAAGAAAAATCCACGTGACCACGGGGAGAACATGCAAACTCCAAATTTACAACAGGCGTCAGGGTCGGGATCGTACCCACGACCTCCTGTATACCAGGCGAGGTAGTTAACATCTCCGAGCCACCGTGAAGATGATGAGAGAGAGACACGCAAAATCCAAATTTACAACAGGCGTCAGGGTAGGGATCGTACCCACGACCTCCTGTATACCAGGCGAGGTAGTTAACATCTCGTCACGTGCTCGTGACGTGCTGAGGAAGCAGTGCACCCGGTGGTTCCTTGAGTTTCCATCGCGGAACAGAGACATGGCGTCGGCTTTGGGAGTACGTCATCCGGCAGTAGATTGGTCATGGCTGGCAATTGATACATTAATTTTATTCCTGGTTGCATTGCATTTTTTTTACAGGGGAACTTCGATCATCCGTCTAGATTCATGTTCACCTCTAACTTTCCCGATGACCCATAGGCCAATGCTTCTTATTTTTGTTATAATCTGTGATTTGCTCACTGATAGAAGTCTGCTTGGTATGGCCGCAGTGACTACTCAACTCACCCAGTCGACCGCGGGGATACACGCGTGGATAAGTTCATGCGATCGCCCAGGCATCCAATTTTTTTCCCGCGGGCCAAATCATGCCCTGAAGGAAGCCTGCGCCTGGCCTAAGCTAAAGGGGACCTCTTTAAATTCATATTGCGACAATTTGCAAGTGAGATGAACGGGTAATTTCTAAGCGGCATTGGTCTTCGTGTTTAGAGTTTACGTGGATCACTCTTGCCAATGACATCTGGTGACCCAGCAGCATTTGTTTAATAAGCCTGACACTGCTGATGAGACCCAACATGTCAACATTCTTGGTTCTTTCGGTAAAGTCACGTAGAAGGGAAGTAATAAAATAATAAAAATAAAACATAATACAATAATAAAATAATATGATATAATAATATAATATAATAAAATAATAAAATAATATAATATATTAAAATAATATAATAATATAATTTATTTTATTACTTCCCTTCTACGTGACTTTACCGAAAGAACCAAGACGATGAATCCCTGCAGTCACGAAAGCTTTAAATCGAAACATCGGTCCAGTTTGCTAGCTCGGGCAAGTGCTGCTCTAGAATACTGGTGTGGAAAGCCAATTGGATGGGCGACTAAAACAAATGTTTACGCATATGTGCAGACACATAATGGACATCTGCTTTTATACATTGTAGTATATTACTTTATATACATCACAGTATATTATTTACACGAGTGCCACGATGAACCATTTATTGTGGACAAGGTACGTTGCGCGTGCGGCATTAATCCTTGGGTGTGTAGTTGCCTGAAAGGCCGAATCGTTTCACGCGCGCTTCCAAACAAACGCACGCACGCTCCGACATGCACACATTACGGCAACACGGGAGGCGGCATTGGTTTTCCCACTTGTGCTTTATTTAAAAAATGCGCATCCGCTGCAGCGCCGTTGCGTTTCGTTATCTACAAGTACTGGTGACACTTCAGCGTTTTGCCAAGATTGAGTTGGAGCACTACTTTACCATTCAGTGAACATTCAAATGAACAGACAAAAAAAGACACGAGAATGTTGCTGATACTGGAAACTAATAATTAAAGTCGGCACCGACATACCGGGACGAACGAATTAGGTTCCAGAGGTCTGTTCGTAAGTTGATTTGATCGTAAGTCCAACTTTACACTAAACATAAAGAATGACTTTAAAAGTTGTAAAATATCCTGTAGATGTAGATGCCACTGATTCTTCATGTTCTGCAGATGTAGATGCCACTGGTTCTTCATGATCTGCAGATGTAGATGCCACTGGTTCTTCATGATCTGCAGATGTAGATGCCACTGGTTCTTCACGTTCTGAAGATGTAGATGCCACTGGTTCTTCATGTTCTGCAGATGTAGATGCCACTGTTTTTTATCTTATGCAGATGCTCCTTCCCTTTGGTGCTCGTGTTTCCTCTGTACTCTCTTGAACAACGTACAAAGGGATGTCTGCACGGTTACTCTCTTCTTCTCTTCATAATTCAACTTGTAACAGGCAATAGCATCGCGATCAGCTGCAATTGGACATACGGACAGGTATGTTCGTATCTCTGAAAGTTCGTAAGTCGGATGTTCGTAAGTAGAGGAGTCCCAGTATTCCAATTCACGACGTGTACGTACTTGGGGTCTCTCTCTCTCTTCCTGTACGTTCGTAATGATCTCACCGTTGGTGGTTATGGGGACAGTGCCACACACGGCTGCCCCTGTCCCGTGCCCGGCCGCCATGGTTTGTAAGATGAACTCAACGCATTCGTTGATAACGCTGGCCCCACACAAGGGACGCATCTGCATGTGCGCGCAATCAGCACCGCCGATTAGCTACGTACGGTAGCGAACGAAGTTCAACGCGCGTACGTGCATCATCATCATCATCGGTGACGTTTCAGGCAATGGCAAAGGTGTCGCTCTGCTAAGAAGGGAGGGATATTGCGTGAACCATCACCGATTGCAGCACTCGTCATAACCTAGGTTATTGCGTTTATCGATACTTCCCGATTGCGTATTGATGCTAATCGTGGCAGTGTTATTGAGTTGTTGTGTATCTGTGCTTGTGCCGCCAATACCGACGCAGTACTTTCACAGTTTGTATCTTCTTCTTCTCCGTCGCGTCTCCTGTCCAACCTCTACGCGGCGGTCTCCCCCCCCTCCCCCCCCCCCAATATTCTGCACAGGCCACTGCTTCTAGTGTTTGGCATTGCCAAGTCTTGATGAGTGCCATCGTGGTGCTGCATGGCATCTCAGGAGATGATCCGTGTGGCTCGCTTCTCCTGACGAGCACACATTGGTCAGGGTTGTGTAGGACCCACCCTCCACCCCTCGTGATTTCACGAGGGAGTTGCATCTGCCGAGACTCCAAGACTCCACTCTCTTCAGTCCGTTTGGGCTCCGCCGCGCGAACCATTTGGAATTGGAGCCCAGAGGAGAGCTCCTTGCTGGGGGGGGGGGGGGGTGATTCATCGCCGGCTCCACGTTAACAGGGAGGCTTCTTCTGCCGCAACAAGTCAGGCCTGAAGTAGACTGTGAATCAGAATGCACGGCGAATGATGCGAAAGTCGAGCCGCAGTTGTCTTTACAACGTAGAACAGGAATAGGGCCCCGCGATGAGGAAGGGGATAGTCCAGCTTGCGATGGGCGAGGCAGGTGTGGAGTGTGGAGAAGGGGATTGGTCACTGAGACGGTCCATGGACTATGAATTAGCAAACATCACAAGCCCCCCCCACACACACACACAGCAAATTCCCCGTGACTGCAGGGGCAAGGGCTGTTAGCGAGTAGCAACCTGTGAAGGCCGGCACGGCACACGAGGGGGTGGGTGGTCAGCACCACGCCTTTGTCTCCCTAGCGGCAAATATTTTTACGCATTGCCCCAGGTACTCAATTGAGGCTGAGTCGACCTAGGGGAGGCCCAGGACCGATTCAGATAATTGTCACTGGTGTTGGCCGTTAGAGGGAATCGAGCCCTTGTCGTAGCACAGCGCCCTAAGCATTGAACCACCACTGCCAAAAAGACAAAGACAAAGATCCCCCGTATAGCCTGCACAGACTGTTGGGGCAAGTGCTGTTAGCAAGCACCGATGAAGGCCAGCACGGTACACAAGGGGTGGGTGGCCAGCACCATGCCCGGCCGCCTTTGTCTCCCCAGTGGCGATGTTTACTCCACACCGCTAAACCAGGTACTCAATTGAGGCTTAATCGACCTCGGCCCAGGACCGGTTCAAATAATCGTCACCGGTGTTAGCCGTGAGTGGGAATCGAACCCGGGTCGCCAGGTTCGTAGCGCAGCGTAGCGCTAACCGCCACACCGCCGCTCCCCACACCACTGTCCATACACACAGACAAAGACAAAGATCCCCCGTATCAGACACACACACGGGGACACACGGACGCACACAGAGGCGCGCACTCAGGCGCCGCGCGTGTCAATTCACGCGCGGCACGAGTGCCACGCGAGCTCTGGCGGAGGCCCGCCGGGGCAGGCGGGGTGGCAGGGCCGCCCCTCGCCGCCACCGCCGCCCCCGCCGCCGCCGGCGAGGGGCAGTCGCGGGCACGCCGCCCAGAGCAGCGCGTCGTACAGCTGCCGGCCCTCGTAGCTCGGCACCACGAAGCTCTCGTCGGCCGCGTCGCCGAACAGCGCGGCGTAGCAGCGCCCGTCGTACGCGCGGCCAAATCGGAAATCGACATTCGCCAGCTGCTGGTGCTGCTGGTGCTGCTGCTGATGATGATGCTGATGCAGCTGCTGCTGCTGATGATGCTGCTGCTGCTGATGATGATGCTGCTGCTGATGCTGGTGGTGGTGATGCTGCTGCTGCTCTCGTTCCAGACGATGCAGAACGCGCTGGCGACGCTCCCGCTCGTCCCGCTCCGCGTCCTGCCGCGGAGTCCTCCGCGCGTCGCGACGCATCGCCCCGTACGGCGAGCATGGCCCCGGGCACTCCAGGGCGGCGGCGGCGGCAGCGGCGGTGACGACGGCGGCGGTGGCGGCGACGGCGGCTCCGGCTCCGTGCAGACTGTCGACGTGCCGCCGCAGGTCGACGCGGCGCTGGAAGGCGCGGCCGCAGTGCGCGCACGGGAAGGGCTGCGCGCCGGCGTGTCGGCGCGCGTGCGTGATGAGGTTGGAGCTCTGGCTGAAGGCCTTGCCGCACACCCCGCAGCGATGCGGCTTCTCCCCTGCAAGGCGACGCACGGCGGCGGGGGGGGGGGGTCGGGAGGTCAGCGGCCGAGCTGTCGAGTGTGCAGGCGGTGCAACTGCACCGGGGTTCAGGGAGAGCGAGAGAAATTGACCGCCCCCCCCCCCCCCACCCGTGTTTAATTTATTCCACCAGGGCCCATACCGACCACAGGGATGCCACTGAGATCTACAGACTTATATAGTGACCCCTGAGATTCTAAAATAAACTATTCTTGTTTATTTTACCAGGTAAGGCCCACTGAGCTATTTAGCTCTTTTTTCAGAAACGACCTGGCCATAAATAACAGCTCAAATAAGTGGCTTATCATGTGGGCATTTACAACCTGGTCTACAGGAGGTCGTGGGTTCGATCCCGACCCTGACGCCTGCTTCTGTATATGTGGAGTTTGCTTGTCTCTCTCTGCCCGTGGTCGCGAGGATTTTTCTCCGGGTCCTCCGGGTTTTCCCTCCACATTTAGAAACATCACGTGTGTTTGGCTGATATACATTTCCCCATGATAAGCCACGTCGTTGAGCCGTCAATTGTGTTGATAGCTCAACGAAGTGGCTCATAATCACGTGGACAGTTCTAGCAGCCAAATACTCTAAATGGTTGTCTAAATGTGTAGGGAGAAACCGGAGGACCCGGAGAAAAATCCACGCGACCACAAGGAAATAAACATGGATCAAACCCATGACCTCAGCTATACCAGGCGATGGAGTTAACATCTCGCAACCGTGGTGTCATAAATTTGCATGTTCTTACAAATGTTATTGTCAGTTTTAATGTTCGCTTACAAACACTTAAGTCTGTGCTCCCCATTTGCCTGGGTGAAAAGTGGGGCTAATGTGCATGTCTGTGTCACCTGTGTGTATGTGTGTGCAGGCGGGGGGGGTGTGTATCTCCTCTCTGTATACAAGTGTGTCGTCTGAATGTTATGAAGGTGTCTAGATGTGCATAGATTTGTGGCTCACCTGCATGTATGTGTGTGTAGGTGTGAATCACCTGTGGAAATGTCGGTGTGCTTGTCTTACCTGTGTGTGTGAAGGTGTGTCTTACCTGTGTGTGTGAAGGTGTGTCTTACCTGTGTGTGTGAAGGTGTGTCTTACCTGTGTGTGTGAAGGTGTGTCTTACCTGTGTGTATGAAGGTGTGTCCTACCTGTGTGTGTGAAGGTGTGTCTTACCTGTGTGTGTGAAGGTGTGTCTTACCTGCGTGTGTGTGTGAAGGTGTGTCTTACCTGTGTGTGTGAAGGTGTGTCTTCTTCTTGGTTCTTTCGGTAAAGTCACGTAGAAGGGAAGTAATAAAATAATAAAAATAAAACATAATAAAACAATTCTCACGACGTTTCGGCCACAACGCAAGCAGCCGTCCTCAGGTGAAAACCAGGTCCGTCGAGGCGACAGAGTCTGAATGAAACAGCACACGGGCTTGGAGCATATATATAAGCTGGGCGCATTGACAAAGGAATTTGCATATCAACAGGAATTTAGCATATTTATGGGAAATGCAGGAATGTGATTAGTACTGCATATGCATGTGCATTATGCAGGATTAACAGCATCAAAGGGAGCTGCAGTTACTGCTGCTGCAGCAGTTGCTGCTGCTGCTGCAGTTTCTGCTGCTGCTGCAGTTGCTGCTACTGCTGCAGTTGCTGCTGCTGCTGCACTTGCTGCTGCTGCTGCACTTGCTGCTGCTGCTGCACTTGCTGCTGCTGCTGCACTTGCTGCTGCTGCTGCAGTTGCTGCCTTATCCATTTTAATATAACACTATGTATTATTCTACCCACCCTAATGTGTATCATACTGCTATATGTTTACTGTACAATTACGAGACCATACATTACTCTGCACACTGCACCATGCCAGTGAGTGGAACGCGGTCTGAAAGTCACCGTTAACGTGAACACAATCAGTTAAGATCCGAAATGGTTTATTACGTCCTTCCAATGATTGCTAAGCCAGAATCCATCTTCTCGGTTGAAATTGTCTCTGTGTTTGTATATGTGGATCGCCTCATGAACGAATCTCTCATGATAGCCAGATGGCTTGCAGAGAACCTCTGTCTTGGAGAAGTCAATGTCATGTGAGCCCACTGAATTGTAACAGTGATCTGCCACGGCTGAGGTGTTTGTCCTACCGTGTTTCAGGTCTGCCTTATGTTCACGGATGCGGTCCGAGACATGTCGTTTGGTTTCTCCAATGTAACTGCTACCACAGAGGCAACTTAGTTTGTAGACGCCAGGGTACTGTATGTCTGGAACCACATCTTTTACAGACGGGACCAGATCACGAATTTTATGTACTGTGTTGAATCGGACCTGGATCTTGTGTTTAATCAGGATTTTGGAGATCTTTTTTGTGACCCCAGCAATGTAGGGTAAGGTGATGGTCTTGAAAGGCTCCTCAACAGGATCCTTCTTGATGGTTGGAGTGATGGCTTTGCGGATTGTGTAGTCGGAGTAACCATTAGCCTTAAGAGCTTGGCGTACGTGTTTGAGTTCACTGGAAATGTGTTCATGGTCGGAGATGCATTGGGCTCTATTGGTTAAGCAGTGAGGACACTGCTTAACCAATACATACTTCACCTGGAATGGAACCTTCTACAAGCAAATTGAGGGCACCCCAATGGGCTCCCCCCTATCTCCGGTGGTAGCCAACATCTTCATGGAGAAATTTGAGACGGACGCCATCCAGACTGCCACTCTACGCCCGACCTTATGGAAGAGGTACGTAGACGACACTTTTGTCATCTGGCCACATGGCCGGCCTGCTCTAGACCAATTTCTCGACCACATCAATTCCATACACCCAGCCATCAGATTCACCATGGAAGTCGAAAATGATGGCAAGCTACCCTTTTTGGATGTCCTAATCAAAAGGAGACCTGATGGTTCAATGAGCCACTCTGTCTACAGGAAAGCCACCCACACGGATGCTTATCTAAAACCGGATTCCCACCACCATCCATCCCAGAAGAATTCCCTCATCAAGACTCTATATCATAGAGCCCAATGCATCTCCGACCATGAACACATTTCCAGTGAACTCAAACACGTACGCCAAGCTCTTAAGGCTAATGGTTACTCCGACTACACAATCCGCAAAGCCATCACTCCAACCATCAAGAAGGATCCTGTTGAGGAGCCTTTCAAGACCATCACCTTACCCTACATTGCTGGGGTCACAAAAAAGATCTCCAAAATCCTGATTAAACACAAGATCCAGGTCCGATTCAACACAGTACATAAAATCCGTGATCTGGTCCCGTCTGTAAAAGATGTGGTTCCAGACATACAGTACCCTGGCGTCTACAAACTAAGTTGCCTCTGTGGTAGCAGTTACATTGGGGAAACCAAACGACATGTCTCGGACCGCATCCGTGAACATAAGGCAGACCTGAAACACGGTAGGACAAACACCTCAGCCGTGGCAGATCACTGTTACAATTCAGTGGGCTCACATGACATTGACTTCTCCAAGACAGAGGTTCTCTGCAAGCCATCTGGCTATCATGAGAGATTCGTTCATGAGGCGATCCACATATACAAACACAGAGACAATTTCAACCGAGAAGATGGATTCTGGCTTAGCAATCATTGGAAGGACGTAATAAACCATTTCGGATCTTAACTGATTGTGTTCACGTTAACGGTGACTTTCAGACCGCGTTCCACTCACTGGCATGGTGCAGTGTGCAGAGTAATGTATGGTGTCGTAATTGTACAGTAAACATATAGCAGTATGATACACATTAGGGTGGGTAGAATAATACATAGTGTTATATTAAAATGGATAAGGCAGCAACTGCAGCAGCAGCAGCAAGTGCAGCAGCAGCAGCAAGTGCAGCAGCAGCAGCAAGTACAGCAGCAGCAGCAACTGCAGCAGCAGCAGCAACTGCAGCAGCAGCAGAAACTGCAGCAGCAGCAGCAACTGCTGCAGCAGCAGTAACTGCAGCTCCCTTTGATGCTGTTAATCCTGCATAATGCACATGCATATGCAGTACTAATTACATTCCTGCATTTCCCATAAATATGCTAAATTCCTGTTGATATGCAAATTCCTTTGTCAATGCGCCCAGCTTATATATATGCTCTAAGCCCGTGTGCTGTTTCATTCAGACTCTGTCTCCTCGACGGACCTGGTTTTCACCTGAGGACGGCTGCTTGCGTTGTGGCCGAAACGTCGTGAGAATTGTTTTATTATGTTTTATTTTTATTATTTTATTACTTCCCTTCTACGTGACTTTACCGAAAGAACCAAGAAGATGAATCCCTGCAGTCACGAAAGCTTTAAATCGAAATTTAAGGTGTGTCTTACCTGCGTGTGTGTGTGAAGGTGTCTGTCTTACCTGTGTGTGTGAAGGTGTGTCTTACCTGTGTGTGTGTATGAAGGTGTGTCCTACCTGTGTGTGTGAAGGTGTGTCTTACCTGTGTGTGTGTGTGAACGTGTCTCTCACCTGTGTGTATGAACGTATGCTTCTTCATGTCGGACTTCTGGTGGAAGCGCTTGCCGCAGTAGATGCAGGGGAAGGGCCGCGTGTCCGAGTGGATGAGCAGGTGGGTGGAGAGCGTGGACGAGCGCTTGAACGTCTTGCTGCAGATCTTGCACACAAAGCTGCGCTCCTGCCACCGTCGGGAGAACGCGAAGTGATCGCACTCAGACCCCACACAACGTGGCCAACCCCCGCATCGACGTTTATTTATTTTAGAACATGAGGCCTCCTTTGCCAGTACCAAAATATAATAGGTTTTTTCCCCTTTTTGTGGCAGCAAAACTTAAACCTTTTTACAAGGAATCATGTTTACATTAACCACAATACCTGCGGTCAGAATGCAAACAAAAAACACGTGATTCCTCGTAAAAAGGTTTCAGTTTTGTTGCCATAGAAAAGGGGAAAACCCTATTATTATATTTTGGTACTGGCAAAGGAGGCATCATGATGAAGATACTTACCCCGAGCTCTCATTCCTCTGATAATGCGTTGTCTTTGTGTTGTGTGCCTTTTGGCGTCATCTGGTCAAACACCGTATGAGACTAGGCTCTGAGGAAAGTTGTCTCTGGTGTGGACCAATCAATTTCAAGGACAATGCATATATTATCAGAGTGTTTTTTGTTTGCATTCTCACCGCAGGTATTGTGGTTAATGTAAACATGATTCCTTGTAAAAAGGTTTCAGTTTTGTTGGCATAAAAAAGGCGAAAAAACCTATTATTATATTTTATTTATTTTGTTCACCAGGTGAAGCCCAGCGAGCCATGAGCTCTGTTTTTTTTTCGGAGGCGACCTGGCCCACGCCGCGATAGCTCATCGCAGTGGGCTGATACCATCGTCGTCGCACGTGGGCATTTATAGGAGCGGTCAAATAATCGAAACGCACGTTGACTTTAAATGTGGATGGAGGGGCAAAAGCGGAGATCACGGAGCAAAATCGATGCGACCACCACGGGTTGAGAGAGAGAAAACACGCGGACTCCAAAGATACAACGGGCATCTCATATTCTTAGGTTTTTCGGTAAAGTCACGTAGGTAAAACATTAAAATTAATAAAAGTAAAATAAAAAAATCACGACGTTTCGGAGGCAACACAAGCTTCCGAAGACGGAAGCTTGTGTTGCCTCCGAAACGTCGTGATTTGTATTTATATTTATTTATTTATTTTACTTTTATTAATTTTAATGTTTTACCTACGTGACTTTACCGAAAAAACCTAAGAATATGAATCCTTGCAGTCACGAAAGCTTCAAATCTAGAACGGGCATCTCATCACCACCGCGGCCCGCTTTTAGAGGCACGACCCACATCCAACAACTGCTCATCCGTGAAGCTAAATTAACCATCGTGACCACCCTGAGAATTAAGTTGCTTTCACCCGTGGCTTTTACGGTTTGAACGCTCACATTTTTCCAGATTTTTTGACAGTGGGACTTGGGCACCTCGCTTGCCGTGTGAGATATTTACATGACACTGACCATGTATAACGCTTCCCATTGTGTCTTGCCTTAATGAAAGTTTTGCACACAAAAAAAAAACACTTGTGCGCAACAGTGCAGGAAGTGTTCACCGTGACGTGTCCAAGTGTCCGACTGCACCTCCTGCCTGCTCCGCTCCCAGCTTCAGTCATTTGATAACAACTCCAATGTCGTGGAAGAAAGTCAGGTCCCCAGTAACCCGTCGCTGCTGCGAAGCTGCTTGGCCGGCACAGTTTCAGAAGGGTCGTCCCGGTCTCACGAAGCATTTGTGCAGAATCGGGATTTTCTCCCTGGCTGACAATGTCCCTAAGGCTCAAGCTCGACCCATGACACAGGCAGAGGGAGGAGTTACCCGAGGAGTGGGCGGGGCTACCCGGGCAGTGGGCGAGGCTACCCGAGTAGTGGGCGGGGCTACCTGAGTAGTGGGCGGGGCTACCTGAGTAGTGGGCGGGGCTATCCGAGTAGTGGGTGGGGCTACCTGAGTAGTGGGCGGGGCTACCTGAGTAGTGGGTGGGGCTAGCTGGGTATTGGGCGGGGCTACCTGAGTAGTGGGCGGGGCTACCTGAGTAGTGGGCGGGGCTACCTGGGTAGTGGGCGGGGCTACCTGGGTATTGGGCGCAGCCAATGCCAGAGGGAGTGAGGAGGGCCGTTCAATAGGTGGGTTGAGCGGGCATGGCTCCGTACAAGCGGTGGCGAGATGTTAACTCTCTCGCCTGGTGTGCAGGGGGTCGTGGGTTCCATCCCGACCCTGACGCCTGCTGCTGTATATTTGGAATTTGCGTGTCTCTCTCTCTCATCATCATCACGGTGGCTAGGAGATGTTAACTCCCTCGCCTGGTGTGCAGGGGGTCGTGGGTTCCATCCCGACCCTGACGCCTGCTGCTGTATATTTGGAGTTTGCGTGTCTCTCTCTCTCATCATCATCACGGTGGCTAGGAGATGTTAACTCCCTCGCCTGGTGTGCAGGGGGTCGTGGGTTCCATCCCGACCCTGACGCCTGCTGCTGTATATTTGGAATTTGCGTGTCTCTCTCTCTCATCATCATCACGGTGGCTAGGAGATGTTAACTCCCTCGCCTGGTGTGCAGGGGGTCGTGGGTTCCATCCCGACCCTGACGCCTGCTGCTATATATTTGGAGTTTGCGTGTCTCTCTCCCCGTGGTCGCGTGGATTTTTTTCCCAGGTCATCCGGTTTTTCCCTCCACATTTAGAATCGACATCGTGCGTTTAGAATATTTGGCTGCTAGAAATGTCCACGTGACGAGCCACTTCGTTGACCTATCATTTGTGGCCAGGTCGCTTCTGAAAAAAGAACTCACACAGCTCAGTAGTGAGCCTTAGACCCGGTAAAATAAAATAAAAAATATTGCCAATAGCAAACATGTCACAGCCGGAGGGGGGCCATCAGCTCGCCGTGGGTCCCAGCTGGGCCTGCCAGCAACGCGGGGCGGGTGGCTGCAACTCACTTGCGCGTGTGTGGCTCGATGCCTCTCCAGGCTGAGCGCGTGTCCGAACGTCTTGTGGCACAGCGGGCAGGCGAAGGGGCGCGTGCCGGCGTGGGCGCGCCGCGCGTGCACCTCGAGCCCGTGCGGCGTGGCGAAGCGCTGCGTCCCACACGGTGAGGCACGCGCACGCACGCACCAGGGCACCCAGCTCAACGTGACGCTCCAGCCGCAACCTCCCCACGGAGTAAGGGGCCGTCCATAAATGACATCACGCGATTTTTGGACGATTTTTGACCCCCCCAACTCGTCACACGGCGTCACAAAAAGTCAGACCCCCCTGAAATATGACGTCACAAGGTTCTGCCCCCCCCCCCGAAAACCATATTTTCATTTTGAAAATTAAACATGCTTCCAATTGATTTAATCTATTGTCATTGTAGTGCGGTTTAAATGTGGCGCTGCACTCTGATGTTGTAGGAGAAAACATTTATTAAAAAAGGTGTTGGAAAGCTTAAATTTAGCATAAAAATCACTTGAAAATATGCAACGTCTAACTAAAACTGCAGATGTTCAGAATATTATATTGAAATTATCTTATAACTATAAAATATTAAAAGTAATTATAAATATAAAAAAAATACTTTAAACTTTGTAGTAGAACGAATCAAAATGGAGAGTACAATTATAACAATCATATATTCATTCCACAGAATGAAAAGCCCTGGTAGAATCATTAGAATCAAAATGTTGAATAACAATAATTGAAATGTTTTAAAAAATGTATGCTTCTCCATTCTCCCATGGATAAGCAAAATGCTCCTTCATGGAATAAATAAAAGGTGACCTTAGTAAATTTAAATAATCAAATAGTTAATAATGAAAATGTATTATAATTAGTGTTGTTATTACAATTCTATATTAATTTAAAGTTGCGCATTTCTCACCCCCCCCCCCCCCTCGTCACACATCGTCACAAATGTCTGACCCCCCCCCCCCCTAGGTGCGTGACGTCATTTATGGATAGCCCCTAACACCATGGTGGGGGGGGGGGGGGCTGCGGGGCACGGGGCAAATCAACTAAACCAGAAGTACAGGGTACTCCAATTTTTTTTAACACTTATATGGGACTATCTTTAAAGGAAAATAACGGATAATGCACTGTAGCATGATAAGAAAAATGCATGTTAATAGCTTCAAAAAGTCAAAGAGTCTCCACTTATTCACCAACATTGTCAACACTTTCCTGGAATCTTCTCCAGGTGGTCTCCAGAGCCCGGAGGCACATTGCTTGTGCTATTGTTGCAAATTCTCAGAAGGGTTAACATTTTTTTGAAGCACCCTGTATTGCATTTGACACGTCTCCACCCCCCCCCCCCAAAGCGCGGGGCCCGGGACGGCCGCCTCAATTGTCCGTACCCCAGGGACGACTCTGCCCCTGGTGGCAGCTGTCCCTGCAACGCACAAGGTGAATGCAGCCAGCAAGTGGCCATTACTCTTGCAGTAGGGCACCACTTTGTTTCGCTATGTGGCTCTCCCATGGCCAACATGGGCCAACATGAGTGGCGAGCGATGTCTGAGGCGGTCCTTCACGAACCCGCGGCGCCATTCACCAACCCCGGCGCTTATCCGCGAAGTCTTTACGAGGAAACCCCGAGGACTGACACAGCAATGGATTTATTCTTACACCCTTCTTACAGCAATGGGTTTATGTAGACTGTAAATCATTATTGTTGTCACTCTTAGCACCGTGTGATATGATGTATGCTTTATTTTTGCAGCGACACTCTGAATATAACTGCCGTTAATTGTATTGAATCTCTCATATTTAGTTTGTTTAAACTTAATACTGGACTCGCACACTGCGCCCGAGATGCATATGTACATCGCTATCATGTGTTCTTGCGGTCTGCATTGTTTGCAAGGATGCATACGTAGTACATCGACTTCCAAAAAACTTGTATGCAAATCATCACGGCTTATTAAGAAAGACGCAGGATGGAGACCAAGAAGAACAGTACAGTATGTGAGTATAATAAATCAACTGTTATTCCTTCATAGTTCGAGAGATCTGAGATTGAGCCGTAGCTGGAGGTTTGCTCGGCGTGGCTTCGTGAGTAACACTGGTCAACACACTTTTTCTGTCATAAGGTATTCCAACGATTTTAAGGTAATTTTGGGGTGCTGATTCCAAATCCGGCATCAGTTTTTGTCTATCACATCAGGTTTTTGAGATATCAAATATTGCATTTTCAATCAAAACTGCCGAAGATAAATATTCAATAAATGTGGATATCTACATAAAATGATATTATAAACACACTATCCTAAACATACAGCACCATATTTTAACACTAAAGCAGTCACTGACTCGCAGCAACTTGCAATCATAAGTGACAGAGTTAATTTGGGGTAAAATCAATGAAAAATAGCATATAAATGAGATGTGATAGAGCAAATCTGAGATCAGATTTGGAATCAGCTGCAAAAGTCCAGGCCAGAATTTTTTTTTTGTTGACCAGTGTTATTTTAGGGTGACATCATGGGCAGCCGTGGACCGTCGCAAACGAGCAGCTTCCCGTAAGACAATGGGCAGAAGGCAGACAGACCCGAACGCGGTCACTGGCTACAATCACGCACTGTGCGCGTAGTTTTTTGGGTCACTCATCTGCGATGTTTCACTTCTCCCCTCCCCACCCCCCGCTGGCAGATAACACGGGCTCGGCTTGTTCGTGCGCGCCCGCTGGAACGCGCGTCAATGTGGTTTACGTAAACCTGAAGAAGAAAAAAAATCCTCAGCTGTTGCACACACAAAAAAAACTGCGATGACACTTCGCCGATTGTGAACGTGCATTGATTGACGCCTCGGTGACGGTCTCGTGCGGTCGGTCGGGGATCACGGGACGAGGAACACTCGTGGAGGAGCTCCGCGTGCCCAATTCCACTTCCTCTTCACAGCCCGGCGCCCGGACCCTGCAACCGGCCTGGTAGCCCTCGATAGCTAACCACGCCGCCGCGTCTCAGACAAGTATTTGTTTATACCCACTATCGGCCCGCATGGACGCTAGCATTCCTCCGTTTGTCCCTTCATTCCTTCTTCCCTCCAGCCTGACTCCCACCACCATCCAGCACAGAAGATGTCCCTCATCAAGACACGACACCATAAGGCCCGTTGCATCTCCGACCAGCACCACGTAGCCAGTGAGCCTGAGCACGTACGCCAGCCTCTCAGGAGGAATGGATATTCTGACCGCACGATCCGCAAAGCTGCATCCCCGACCATGGGTAGAGAACCATCTGAGGACCCAATCAAAACCATCACCCTGCCGTACATAGCAGGGGTCACCAAAAGGGTTTCCAAAATCTTGAACAAACACAAGATCCAAGTTCAGTTCAATGCAGTACACAAAATCCGTGATTGGATCCCATCGGTGAAGGATGCGATTCCGGACATGCAATGTCCTGGTGTCTATAAGCTGCGTTGTGTCTACGGCAGCAGTTACATTGGTGAAACGAAGCGACCTGTCTCAGACCGGGGTCGCGAACACAACGCGGATTTGAAACACGGCAGAACCAACACCTCGGCGGTGGCGGATCATTGTTTCAACGCTGTGGGCACACGTGACATTGTTTTCTCCGAGACCAAGGTGCTCTATAAACCCTCGGGCTACCATCAGAGATTTGTTCATGAAGCCATCCAGATATACAACCACACACAAAACTTTCATCGAGAAGATGGATTCCGATTGAGCAATCATTGGAAGGACGTGATAAACCACGTCAAGTTTTAACTGCTGTGATTTTCACTCACCCACCCAAAAAATACGCGTTTACTAATTCAAGACTCAAGTTTTAAATCTCATCGACATGCTAATTTTACTCTACACCCCCCCCCCCTCCCGTGCCTATATAAAGCCAAAACATCAGATCATTCTTTCTCACCTGATGACGGACGCTTGTGTTGCGACCGAGACGTCGTGTTCTATTTTCTTTCTACCTACGTGACTTTACCGAAAGAGCCAGAGAGTACGATGCCCATTCTGTTTTCTTTGACGGTCATTAGGCACTGTTGAAAACTCCACATTTCTATGACAGGGGCCACAGTTGACTTCTTTAACAAAAAATAGTTGTATTCTTCTACCTCTGAAAAGTGATGAGCGAAGATTGTAATTCACAATTTTCAACTCATGAGTTAAGCACTCTGACCATTCGTATTGCAGTGGTACTACGTAGACAGAATATACATTTTTGTAATAATTTTTACTTTATTCATTATTACTTTAAAAGCTATGACACCAGCGCACAGTAGCGCTTGTTGTGAATGATATCAGAATTTCTGATGCCTCGTAGCATTCGTAATTTCCTGCAGAAGTTCCGACGCAACTTCTCTATTTCGAACCTTGCACTGGGACCAATGGTTGCAGTCAAGAGTCTATGTGGGTCGGTGACACGGACATTATTTTCACACCCGGAACACTATATCCAGTATAACTTCTCGCTGTGGCTATAACCGTGGTCACGTGCCACCTCCTCAATTCTACCAGCGGTCTGGAAAATATTCAGGAAGATATTGAGCCCTGGGTATCGCCATTGTACGCAGTATATCCAGCCACAAATATCAGAGTAAGGTAAATGTTTCCATGCTCAAATGAGCACTGGGCAGTGGTCCTCTCCATGACTTGTCCAGTTATCAGTGGTGGAAATTCCACATTATTTAGGACACCAATAGCACAATTAGAATATATAAAAAGCATTTCCCTCCCTCCGGCCAGCGAGCCAGCCAAACTTTAATACAACACTTTGTGGAATACTGTACTGTGTGGTGAAATTCTTGAAAAGTGGAGCTAATTTTTAAAATCCTTTATATTAAGTTCGCTTGCTTGCTTGCGTGCTTGCTTGTTTACGACCGTGCAAATCTTTCGGTCGTTTTTCAACCCACTTCCCGTGATCCAATCGAGCTGACATTTTCCACACAGACTCGTTGTGCGTGACAATTAATTTTCGTGATTTTTTTTTTCTCCAAAATTTGACACTGTTTAGGGAAAAAAAATATTTAATTACCAATTGCTTAATGCTGGCAGACAATCATCTGACCCATAGGTGGCAGCCATCTCAAGCCAGAGGACGAGAGGACTCTAGCCGCCACGCATATAAAGGATTTAGAGTGAAAAACTTTGTTTTAACGGGTTAATTATTTCTAAATCCTTTATATTAAGTTCACTTGCTTGCTTGCGCGCTTACGACCGTGCAAATCTTTCGGTCGTTTTTTAACCCACTTCCCGTGATCCAATCAAGCTGACATTTTCCACACAGACTCGTTGTGCGTGACAATAAATGTTCGTGAAATTTTTTTTCCAAAATTTTACACCTTTTAGGAAAAAAAATGATATTTAATTACCAATTGCTTAATGGTGGCAGACAATCATCTGACCCATAGGTGGCAGCCATCTCAAGCCAGAGGACGAGAGGACTCTAGCCGCCACGCATATAAAGGATTTATAGTGAAAATCTTTGTTTTTACGGGTTAATTTTTTGAGTTTTTACCCCAGAGGAGTGATCGAAGGCTTCGCCACACCGTGTGGATCGTGGAGGTTGTCTGACCATACTTCACCAGGTTGTTCATTCGTGGGTTGCAAGGTGGGGAGGGAGCGTAGACTTGAGAGCAATGGAATTTGCTGCACTGCCCACAATTATGATGATGATGGTGATGATGATGGTAATAATGACAGCTGATGATGTGTCGAACCCTGGCTAGGATTTATCCTCGTAAGTCTTAAATTGGGAGTGATATTCACTGCCAACCAAGCGGTAGCCACGGTGACCACGCTGCGTATGTATCTATGTACCTTGAACTTATTACGTGCCGTACGTAGCCAACCGTCTTACTCAGGAGGTGCGTGGAGAAGACGGCAACTAAACACAAAAAGCAGTTCTAAAAAAGTGAGTTTTCCATCCACAAGATTTAAAAGCGCATAGCTCCAGTGGAGTCCGAATATCGGAAGGAAGAGCGTTCCAGACGGCCGCAGAGGCGCATCTGAAAGCGCGCGACGCAATGCGGCGGTCGTCTTTGTTCAACGACCAGACAAACGCCGCCACAGCGAATGATGACCGGGCAGTTCGCGGCATGTGGAAGTCGGCATACCTTCTGGCACCGTAGACACGTGTAGGTGTGACCGGCGTCCTCTGTAGCACCGGGGTTGCTTGGTGGGGTCTCGGCTGGTGGCCCCGGCTCGTGCCCCAATGGTGGAGGAGAGCCCCAACCGACCAAGCCTCCCGCTGGGCTCGAGTGAGGGCCCTGGGTCACGTGGTCGGCGTCCAGTTGCTCTCCTTCCACGACGAGCTGCAGCTCTGGCGTTGGCGAGAGGGGCAAGGGTTATGGAGCGTCACGAAGGTCAGTGCTTCGTTTCATCGGGAGCAGTCTGGAACGCTCGACCAGTCAACTGTTGTCACGTGCCACGTCCGTCTTGGCTCTGGTTTTATTTCCATTTTTGGCATATTTATAAACGTTTAAAGGAACATACGGGGGAAAAAAACAAAATAAGATTATTATGGATAGTGGTACAAGGTGTGCCTATCCATAATATAATGGGGGGGGGGGGGAGAAACCCTCCACATATTCAACAACACGACTTAAAACAACGAAGCAGGTGACGTTTCGGGAAGTGGCCCTTCTCCATAACACATGGGAGGGCCATTTCCCAGAATCTTGCCTATTGTAAAGTTTTTGATTTTGAGAGTGTAATGGACAAATGTTTAAAATAGATATTATTTGTGCTTGTGCGCCACTGCCAAATCAGTATTCCAAAAACATTTAGCATAACAATCCTGGATTGTAACGGATAGGCGTGTCCCTGTACTCTCGTGCTAGTGCCTTACGCCGATAACCCCTACTGCCCCAAGGCAGGCTAACCACCGTTAACGAACGTATCGAGTGAGAAATTAAGCCCTGGTTATCATCATCGTCAGCCAGTGATCAACCCACTGCCCGAATGGATAAGCCTTGCCAGAGCCGGTGTCCCTCTCTTTGCGATCCCTCCGACGTGAACCATCCAGCCACGGCGCTCACACCCGGAGCGCGTCTGCATCGTCCGCGCTTTCAAACGCGCCTCTGCGGCCGTCTGGAACGCCCTTCCCTCCGATATTAGGAAGCCACTGGAGCTACGCACTTTTAAATCGTCTAGATTGAAAACACACTATGATAATATATGCATTGTCTTTGAGCTGTACGCCTTTTGGCGTCCTCTAGTCGAGCACCAATTGGGTCGAGGCTCAAAAGAAAGCCGTCCCTTGGTGTGGACCAATCAGTTTCAAGGACAATGCCAATATATTATCATAGTGTGTTTTTGTTTGCATTTTGACTGCAAGTATTGTGATTCATGCAGACACGAATCCTCGTAAAAAGGTTTCAGTTTTGTTGCCAGAAAAAAGGGGAAATCCCCTATTATAACATTATTATTATAATAAAGCAAAGCTGTTAACTGGCAACAACAGTAGCAGCACCTGCGTGTGTCGCCGTGTTCTACTCTCTTCCGTCTCCGCCACAAGGCGTCATGGGATATCTCAGCAATTGTCAGCTCAAGACGTGCATTGTTCACGTAATCGATTATGTAGGGGTTCTGGACTAAATTTGCAGCAGGCGAATAGCCCCGAGGTCACGGCACAAGCAGCCGCGGCAGGCTTTGTGCTCTCAAGGGCCATTGGCCGAAACGTCTATATTTTATGTTGAGGCCAACGTGGTGTTGATGAATTTAGAGATTGCTGTTTGTGTTTGCGCTGCTAATGTAGCAGCAGCATCACCCACCACCACCAGGTAAATAGTATAGCATATAGTGTACAGCACGCACACAGTGTAATCTATATATACAAATAACGTGTATGTGTTTTATATATATATACTGTGCAGTAACAGGGATGTTGCGATAGTTGATAAATATATCGATTATTTTACTCGATTCGTTTTTCCATCCTGCATTGGTCTCGTCGGGGCAGTTTTAGCTCCGCTTCGTTAGAATTAATCTAACATTAGCACTGTATCTAACATTACCACTGCATCTAACATTAGTGCTGTATCTAACATTAGCACATCATTTACATCCACAGGTGATTGTTATTACAGGCGCGGTGATTATTAAACACGTACAGTGCTCTTTACGAATGTTCATTAATCGATTAATCGATGCATCGTTCGTTACATCCGTTGCTTGCACAATATAAAGATACGTGCATTTGTGCACGCGTTTATGTACAATCTTAAATCGTCTCAACATAATCATGTGTACGTATGTTATACATGTTGTGTGCAGTATACATATACTGTGGGGAGCGGTGGCATAGTGGTTAGCGCGCTGCCCTACAATGCGAATTATATTCCCGCTCACAACCAAATAGCAGTGGCGAATATTTGAACCGGTGCCTGGGCCTTCCCTTGATCGACTCAGCCTTAAACGAGTACCAGGCGCGGCGTGTCAACGTCAGCACCGGGGAGACAAAGGCGGCTGGGTGTGGTGGTTCTGGCCACATCTCTCCCTCGTGTGCCGTGCCAGGCCTTCAGAGGGTGCTCGCTAACAGCACTTGCCCCAACAGGCTGTTAAGGCCACACGGGGGACCTTTGCCTTTGTTATTACATATACTGGGTGTCCATACTCTTTGGTTCTTTCAGTAAAGTCACGTAGGTATAAAATAAAAAATATTTTAATACAATTATTTTAATAAAATTATTTTAATACAATTATTTTCTACCTACGTGACTTTAGCGAAAGAACCAAAGAGCATGGATTCCTGCAGTCACGAAAGCTTAACATCGAGATATATATACTGGGTGTTCATAGACTGCGTGCACGCGGGGTCTATCCTGCTCACGCTTAACACGTGAACACGTGTGAACACGTATTACGCGTGCGCTGCGTGTGTGCCGTGCAATGGCTCTTCCCGGCTGATGTGCGTTCGCATACCAAAGGTCTCATCATAACACGAACTATACGACTACGAATTGATCGGGCACAGCTGGTCAGATAATTATAATTTAAACTAACCCCCACCCCCCCCCCCCCCACCTTTAAACACAACATCATCGTGTTAAATAATAATAACACGAGAAGCCAAATTCGTAATTTCCGTCCGGCCAAGTACATATATATACACGTGTGTACTCTGTGTGAAATGTACGTTCACGATATTGTAACAAAGACAAATATTCCCCCAATACAGCCCTGAACAGACTGTTGGGGCAAGTGCCGTTAACGGGCACCATACGAAGTGGCGGGTGGCCGACACCACGCCCGGCCACCTTTGTCTCCCCGGTGCTGATGTTCACTCATTTAAGTTGACCGATGGGGAAGGACCAGGACCGGTTCAAATATTCGCCACTGCCATTCGTCGTGAGTCGGGGAATCTAACTCTGGTGGCTGGGCTCGCAGCGCAGTCGGGATCACCACACACGTGTTATGCAGTGCCAACAGTACTACAGTACTATATATATACCCACACGAATACCAAGATCCCTTAGACTGATGGGGCACGTGCTGTTAGCGAGCGACTATGAAGGCCAGCACGGGGTGGGTGGCCAGCACCACTCCCGGCCGCCTTTGTCTCCCCAATGGCAATGTTTACACACCGCACAAGGTACTAATTTGACGCTTAGTCGACCTAGGGGAGGCCCAGGATCGGTTCGGATAATCGTCACTGGGTCGCCGGGTTCGTAGCGCAGCGCGCTAACCGTTGCACTAGCGCTCCCCACTCCTACACAAACACACACACAAGCACACAAACATACGCATGTCAATAAGGGAAATATTTTCTCGTACGTTTAAAATTACGCAAATATGCGCTGCTACAATTAAAAGCAAAGACACCAGAATGATGCGTAAATGTGTTTTCTGCTTTGCCAAGAGGCGTATTGTAGCTCTTAAAAAAAAAACTAAACACTGCCGCAACTAATCTTGATTTGAAGCTTCCGTGACTGCAGGAATCCATCCTCTCTGTTTCGTTCGGTAAAGTCACGTACGTAGAAAAAAATATCATAAAAGAACACGACTTTTCGTTCGCAACACAAGCGTCCGTCATCAGGTGAGAAAAATATCTGCTGTTGTGGCTTTATATAGGCACGGGAGGGGGGGAAGGGAGGGTTTGTGGCGTGCTGGGACGGGTGTGGGCTGGAGAAATCAGCATGTCCATGAGCTTGAATTAGTAAACGAAAATAGCACGGGTGGGTGAGTGAAAATCACAGCAGTCAAAACTTGACGTGGTTTATCACGTCCTTCCAATGATTGCTCAATCATTGGAAGGACGTGGGGAGCGGTAGTGTGGCGGTTAGCGCGCCACGCTACGAACCCGGGTCACCCAAGTTCGAATCCCACACACGGCCATCAACAGCGAGGACTATCCGAAACGGTCGTTGGCCAGCCCCTAGGTCGACTCGGCCTTAAATGAGTACCTGGTGTGATGAGTAAACATCGCCACTGGGGAGACAAAGGCGGTGGGGCGTGGTGCTGGCCACCACCCCCAACGTGTGCCGTGCCGCCCTCCATCGGTGCTCGCTAACAGCACTTGCCCCAACATTCTGCCAAGGCTACACGGGGAATCAGGAAGCCGACGTCCTCCACGTCGGCTTCCTGATTTTCGTGACTGAGCCGATGAACTCCTACAGTAGATGTCTCGATGCTGCTCAGTGCCGTCTAACCAAAATCTAGAAATCGAATTTTTAAAAGTTAACTTTATTATAGACGACTTTAGCAACTGGTTTACTTCGCTCACACCAGTGCTATTACTTCTATTAGTATTGCAATGCAATACTGGCACTGACCAGCGTGGTGAAGTATGGTCTAAGGACCCCCCATGTTTAGTTTGCCGGCCACATGTCCCTTCTAGCGACGGTGCGTCCTGCTTCAAGTCCACCGCTTTGTGTGTTTGTGTCTTGACAGCCGACGATTCAGCAACTCTAACTTGCGCGTGCTTTCCAATCCGGGTGTTCCTCTTCCTTTCGAGGTTCAGTATCTCTTCTAGATTTTAAGCTTTCAGTCTCTCTCTCCCCGCGTCTCGGCGCACTTGTCAGCTATTGTTGCTTCCCTTGGTCGGCAATGGTGCGCGGTCCTTATTGTTATTCTTGGATCTTTCGGTAAAGTCACGTAGAAGGGAAATAATAAAATAATAATAATAAAAATAATAAAATTCTCACGACGTTTCGGCCACAACACAAGCAGCCGTCCTCAGGATGCTGTCTTTTCGACAGCTCTGTTCTTCACCTGAGGACGGCTGCTTGTGTGTCGTGGCCGAAACGTCGTGAGAATTTTATTATGTTTTATTTTCATTATTTTATTATTTCCCTTCTACGTGACTTTACCGAAAGATCCAAGAATATGAATCCCTGCAGTCACGAAAGCTTTACATCGAAAGTCCTTATTGTTGTTGTTGAGTCACTTCGATACCCGCCAGAAGAATTGAGTGGCATGTACCGTATGTATGTTGAACTTCTTTCGCGCCGTAAATAGCCAAGCGCGTTAATTCGGATGCGCGGGGGAAGGACAACAAGCCAAACACAAAAAGCAGTTTTCAAGAAATGAGTTTGTCGATCTAGACGATGATTTAAAAGTGCACAGCTCCAGTGGCTTCCTAATATCGGAAGGGAAGAGCGTTCCAGACGGCCGCATCTGAAAGCGCGGCGATGGCGAGCGGCCAAGAAAGGCGCCGCTGCTGTGCGGATGACGACCGCAGTTGGCGGGGTGATGGTTCGTGCTTCTTGACCAGATCGCCAAGGTCAACTTCTCCCCCCTCTCGCTGATGCCACTTCGCTGTCCAGGCGGACGACGACGTTGATGTTTGAGCATTCGGATAAAGAGTTCACGCATCGTACGGGTAGCGGAGGTGATTCGAGTATTCTGGCTGCGACGCATTTCCACGCGACGATCAACCACTTCGTCGAGCGACGATTTGTGGCCACGTCGCTTCTGAAAAATAAGTTTAAAGCTCAGCGGGGCTTTAACTGGTCAAATAAAATAGTTTAGTTTTTTTGAGCGATTTCTGTACCTTTCCACTACTTAGCAGCGGCTATCGCGTTTTTGCATCGTTCGTTGTAACTTCCTGACCCGACCCTACTGGGCATCTGTGGGGTAAAACAAGAGCTTTATAGCTCATCGGATTCCTCCCGTATGACGATTCTGAGTCTGCTTATTTGACCGTACTTCGTGACGCTCGTGCGTGCAGGTTGGTGAAGAAGGCCGCTTGCAATGCCCCATCACGCACAGCGAGGTTCTCGGCGATGGTCGAACCAACTCGGCGTCCCCTCCTCACCCGTTCCGACCTCACGTCGCCCGCGAGTGTCGGAAGTCGCAGCGGGTGAGCGAGCGGGTGAACTCACGTGAACTCAGCCAGGGAGTGAACTCACGGCGGGGTCGGTGAGTGTCGGAAATCACAGCGTGGGAACTCAGAACAGGTGAACTCAGAGCGGGTGAACTCAGAGCGGGTGAACTCAGAGCGGGTGAACTCAGAGCGGGTGAACTCAGAGCGGGTGAACTCAGAGCAGGTGAACCCAGAGCAGGTGAACTCAGAGCGGGTGAACTCACAGCGGGTGAACTCACAGCGGGTGAACTCAGAGCGGGTGAACTCAGAGCGGGTGAACTCACAGCGGGTGAACTCAGAGCGGGTGAACTCAGAGCGGGTGAACTCAGAGCGGGTGAACCCACAGCAGGTGAACCCACAGCAGGTGAACTCAGAGCAGGTGAACTCAGAGCAGGTGAACTCAGAGCGGGTGAACTCAGAGCGGGGGAACTCAGAGCGGGTGAACTCAGAGCGGGTGAACCCACAGCAGGTGAACCCACAGCAGGTGAACTCAGAGCAGGTGAACTCAGAGCAGGTGAACTCAGAGCGGGTGAACTCAGAGCGGGTGAACTCAGAGCGGGTGAACCCACAGCAGGTGAACCCACAGCAGGTGAACTCAGAGCAGGTGAACTCAGAGCAGGTGAACTCAGAGCGGGTGAACTCAGAGCGGGTGAACTCAGAGCGGGTGAACTCAGAGCGGGTGAACTCAGAGCGGGTGAACTCAGAGCGGGTGAACTCAGAGCGGGTGAACTCACAGCGGGTGAACTCAGAGCGGGTGAACTCAGAGCGGGGGAACTCAGAGCGGGTGAACTCAGAGCGGGTGAACTCAGAGCGGGTGAACTCAGAGCGGGGGAACTCAGAGCGGGTGAACTCAGAGCGGGGGAACTCAGAGCGGGTGAACTCAGAGCGGGTGAACTCAGAGCGGGTGAACTCAGAGCGGGTGAACTCAGAGCGGGTAAACTCAGAGTGGGTGAACTCACAGCGGGTGAACTCAGAGCGGGTGAACTCAGAGCGGGTGAACTCAGAGCGGGTGAACTCAGAGCGGGTGAACTCAGAGCGGGTGAACTCAGAGCGGGGGAACTCAGAGCGGGTGAACTCAGAGCGGGGGAACTCACAGCGGGTGAACTCACAGCGGGTGAACTCACAGCGGGTGAACTCAGAGCGGGTGAACTCACAGCGGGTGAACTCAGAGCGGGTGAACTCAGAGCGGGTGAACTCACAGCGGGTGAACTCACAGCGGGTGAACTCAGAGCGGGTGAACTCAGAGCGGGTGAACTCACAGCGGGTGAACTCAGAGCGGGTGAACTCAGAGCGGGTGAACTCAGAGCGGGTGAACCCAGAGCAGGTGAACTCACAGCGGGTGAACTCACAGCAGGTGAACTCAGAGCGGGTGAACTCAGAGCGGGTGAACTCACAGCGGGTGAACTCAGAGCGGGTGAACTCAGAGCGGGTGAACTCAGAGCGGGTGAACTCAGAGCGGGTGAACCCACAGCAGGTGAACCCACAGCAGGTGAACTCAGAGCAGGTGAACTCAGAGCGGGTGAACTCAGAGCGGGTGAACTCAGAGCGGGTGAACTCAGAGCGGGTGAACTCAGAGCGGGGGAACTCAGAGCGGGTGAACTCAGAGCGGGTGAACTCAGAACGGGGGAACTCAGAGCGGGTGAACTCAGAGCGGGTGAACTCAGAGCGGGTGAACTCAGAGCGGGTGAACTCAGAACGGGGGAACTCAGAGCGGGTGAACTCAGAGCGGGTGAACTCAGAGCGGGTGAACTCAGAGCGGGTGAACTCAGAGCGGGTGAACTCAGAGCGGGTGAACTCAGAACGGGGGAACTCAGAGCGGGTGAACTCAGAGCGGGTGAACTCAGAGCGGGTGAACTCAGAGCGGGTGAACTCAGAGCGGGTGAACTCACAGCTGGTGAACTCAGAGCGGTTGAAGTCAGAGCGGGTGAACTCAGAGCGGGTGAACTCAGAGCAGGTGAACCCAGAGCAGGTGAACTCAGAGCGGGTGAACTCACAGCGGGTGAACTCACAGCGGGTGAACTCAGAGCGGGTGAACTCAGAGCGGGTGAACTCAGAGCGGGTGAACTCACAGCGGGTGAACTCAGAGCGGGTGAACTCAGAGCAGGTGAACTCAGAGCAGGTGAACTCAGAGCGGGTGAACCCACAGCAGGTGAACTCAGAGCAGGTGAACTCAGAGCGGGTGAACTCAGAGCGGGTGAACTCAGAGCGGGTGAACTCAGAGCGGGTGAACTCAGAGCGGGGGAACTCAGAGCGGGTGAACTCAGAGCGGGTGAACTCAGAACGGGGGAACTCAGAGCGGGTGAACTCAGAGCGGGTGAACTCAGAGCAGGTGAACTCAGAGCGGGTGAACTCAGAGCGGGTGAACTCAGAACGGGGGAACTCAGAGCGGGTGAACTCAGAGCGGGTGAACTCAGAGCGGGTGAACTCAGAGCGGGTGAACTCAGAACGGGGGAACTCAGAGCGGGTGAACTCAGAGCGGGTGAACTCAGAGCGGGTGAACTCAGAGCGGGTGAACTCAGAGCAGGTGAACTCAGAGCAGGTGAACTCAGAGCGGGTGAACTCACAGCGGGTGAACTCAGAGCGGGTGAACTCAGAGCGGGTGAACTCAGAGCGGGGGAACTCAGAGCGGGTGAACTCAGAGCGGGTGAACTCAGAGCGGGTGAACTCAGAGCGGGTGAACTCAGAGCGGGTGAACTCAGAGCGGGTGAACTCAGAGCGGGTGAACTCACAGCGGGTGAACTCAGAGCGGGTGAACTCACAGCGGGTGAACTCAGAGCGGGTGAACTCAGAGCGGGTGAACTCAGAGCGGGTGAACTCACAGCGGGTGAACTCAGAGCGGGTGAACTCAGAGCGGGTGAACTCAGAGCGCGTGAACTCAGAGCGGGTGAAGTCAGGGCGGGTGAAGTCAGTGAGCGCGTGAACTCAGGGCGGGTGAACTCAGAGCGGGTGAAGTCAGCGAGCGCGTGAACTCACCGCAGCAGATGTCCAGCATGTTCTGCAGCGCGCGCCCGCCGCTGTCGTGGCCGAGGGCGCGCGGCGCGTGGAAGCTGCGCGCCCGGCGCGCCTTGACGAGGAACGCGCGCGGCATCGCAGCCGCAGCACCAGGAGAGACCCTGCTGTAGTAGTATCACTCCTACTACTGTAGTATCACTCCTACTACTGTAGTATCACTACTACTACTGTTCTACCACTACTACTACTGTAGTATTACTACTACTACTGTAGTATCACTACTACTACTACTGTTCTATCACTACTACTGCTGTAGTATCACTCCTACTACTGTAGTATCACTCCTACTACTCCAGTTCCACTACTACTACTGCTGTAGTATCACTACTACTGCTGTAGTATCACTACTACTGCTGTTCTATCACTACTACTACTGTAGTATCACTCCTACTACTGTAGTATCACTCCTACTACTCCAGTTCCACTACTACTACTGTAGTATCACTACTACTGCTGTAGTATCACTACTACTACTGTAGTATCACCACTACTACTACTGTAGTATCACTACTACTACTACTACTGCTGTAGTATCACTACTACTACTGTAGTATCACTCCTACTGCTGTAGTATCACTACTACTACTACTGTTCTATCACATCTACTACTGTAGTATCACTCCTACTACTACTGTAGTATCACTACTACTACTGCAGTACCACTACTACTACGACATACTCTATATAGACTGAATGTATACCCCACGAGGCGACGGGCTATTGACTGTCTGCATACACCGCAATGCGAACGACTGCATACAAGCTACCGTCTGTGTATACACGAGGCTATATGTATACAACCACAAGACTCATCACTCGCTACACGTGATCAGTATACCACGAGCTGCTGCTGCTCGCTGGCTGGCTGGCTATCTTTCACGAAGGGGAATGGGGGCGAGAACGACCTTCCCTCGGCGATAGGAGCCGGCGCTGGAGGAAGGAGGCTTTAGGATTCTGCGTAGGCTAAGGAGGCTTTAGGATTCTGCGTAGGCTAAGGAGGCTATAGGATTCTGCGTAGGCAAGAGTTACGCTCCAGATAGCCGATCAGCGCGGATCATCCGATCGCAATGCCGCTCGTAGCGCGACGCGAACAACAATGTTAACAATATGAGGCATAAAGTAGTTACGAAGCGGCTCTAAGAAAAAAAAACCCAGGTCCTTGTCATAACTTCACACACGCGCGTGTTATTTCTCAGCATGCCCAGTCGTGATGGGAAATCCAGCACACGCTACTCGTTATCGTGTAATACCATTGGATGTTTGACTGGCCGTGTCATATGAAACGATGTATATTGTTTTCTTCAATTTAATCGCCGCAACTATCGCGCATCTAACTTTAAATATCGTAATCTGCAATACGCCGATGGAGTTCAGCGGAGGGCGAACTCGATACGCGTTTCGCTCGCTGGCCGCTCTGTCGCCGCAAGAGCTCTCCTTGGAAGCTTCCTCGAAACCTCTCCCCAGATGACAGCAACCTCCACTTTGCCAGCCAACTGCTACCCACCCCGATGGGTTGACTCTGGCGCAACGCTCGCGCCCTCCTCTTACCATATATGCAATGCGTGCGCGTGCGCGCGGCGTGCGTGTGTGTGTGAGTGGAGTTCAGCGTGCGCGTGCGTGCAGCTTGCGCGTGTGTGTGCGCGCGTGTGTGAGTGGAGTTCAGTGTGCGCGCGGCGTGCGTATGTGTGTGTGTGCGCGTGTGTGTGAGTGCGCGTGTGTGTGGAGTGCGCGTGTGTGTGAGTGCGCGTGTGTGTGTGCAGCGTGTGTGTGAGTGCGCCTGTGTGTGCGAGTGCGCGTGTGTGTGTGCGTGTGTGTGAGTGCGCGTGCGCGCGGCGTGCGTGTGTGTGAGTCCGTGTGTGTGTGTGCGCGTGTGTGTGAGTGCGCGTGTGTGAGTGGAGTTCAGCGTGCGTGTGTGTGTGAGTGCGCGTGTGTGTGTGCGCGTGTATGAGTGTGTGTGGCGCGTGTGTGTGAGCGCGCGTGTGTGTGTGTGAGTGCGCGCGTGTGAGTGGAGTTCAGAGTGCGTGTGTGTGTGTGGGCGTGTGTGAGTGTGTGTGTGCGCGTGTGTGTGAGTGCGCGTGTGTGAGTGGAGTTCAGCGTGCGCGCATGTGCGTGTGTGTGAGTGCGTGCGTGTGTGCGTGTGTGTGTGTGTGCGTGTGTGTGCACGTGTGTGAGTGTGTGTGTGCGCGTGTGTGTGAGTGCGCGTGTGTGTGTGCGTGTGTGTGTGAGTGCCAGTGTGTGAGTGGAGTTCAGCGTGTGTGTGTGAGTGCAGCGCGCGTGTGTGTGAGTGTGCGTGTGTGTGTGTGCGTGCGCGTGTGTGAGTGCGCGTGTGTGTGTGCGTGTGTGTGTGAGTGCGTGTGTGTGTATGTAAGTGCAGCGTGTGTGTGTGTGAGTGCGCGTGTGTGTGTGTGTGCGAGTGCAGCGTGTGTGTGTGTGCGTGTGTAAGTGCAGCGTGATGCAGCACGCTGACTGGAGCACGCAGAGACAACCGCCGCCGCGTCTTCTTCGCTCAGGGCGCGCGCGCAGCGAGACGCCGCCCGCCACTGCCGCGTGTGGTGGACGCGTCGCGGTCAGAATGTCGGCGTATGCTGCAGGAATCTGATGAGCTATAAAGCTCTTTTCACACATGTCCAGTAAGGGGGGGGGCGGAACGTTACAACAAACAATACAAAAACAACACAATAGGAGTGAAAAGTATAGGAAAGGTAAACAGATTACTTACACATATACAAATACAACTGAATGTGTTTTTCATCTTACCAGGTAAAAAGCCCACTGAGGTATCGACTTATTTTTCAGAATCGACCTGGCCACAAATGATAGCTCAACAAAGTGGCTTCTCGTGTACACGGACGTGTGTACAGCCGGTGAGGAAAATCTGAACCGGTTACCCGGGCGTCCCCTAGGTTGACTCGGCTTTAAACGAGTTCCTGGTGCGGGGTGTAAACAACAGCACGGGGAACACAGGGGCGGCTGTCCGTGTGTGTTGGTCACCCATCCCTGAGTGTTTCGTGTCGGCCTTAATAGGCATTCGCTAACAGTACTTGCCGCAATCGTCTGCAGAGGCGATGTTATTACGCGTGATCTTTGTCTTGGCAATGTACGGCGCTTTTGTCAATCCACTGCCGGATGAAAGCCTCCTCCCCACGCCCGTGTGGGTCGTGGTGTTGTTATTTGACAACACTGAACGCTGGTCAGTGCCGGCTGCTGGATGGGGAGCGCATACGGACGCGGGTGCATAGAAGTACAGCACAACAATTGATATTGCTCGACTGCCACCTGCTGCCCGCCACGTACATCATCATCCCCGCAGCACTCCGCGTAAAAGAAGATATAAAAAATTGTTCGGCCCCTTCTTGGCAGTGAATATTTTCCAGCAGCATTGATTCAGTACAAGCAAGCTCCTGCGGACTTTCGGTAAAGCCACGTATGTGACCGAAAGAACCAAAGAGTATGGATCCTTGCAGTCACGAAAACTTCACATCTAGAATCCTGCGGGCTTGTTTTGCGAGCGTCTCGTCAGCCCCGAGGCAGTGCTTGTGAGCTGCCAGATTGTCCGGGCAAAGGGCCCCATCTCTTTAAAATATCGGGCTCCTAGTTCCGGGGTCGGTAACCTGCTCGTTCGCGAGGACCGGCTTCGTGAGGTTGTTTATCAAGGAACCGCCGTCTCGCATTCACCACCACGGTGCATTGCGGCGCTTGAAACACTGAGGGTTGTTTAACCGAATTATAATTTTTTATTATTTAATTTTATTTAAGCGTCATTCATGCAATTGCATTCCACAACGCTGCACATCGATTATATCCTGTTCCGTACAAAAAAAAACTTAAATAAATTTCTCTTCTCGTTGTTTCGGTTGCCGATCGCTGTCTTAGTTTGACACAGCATTAAAGAAAATCAGACGACGTAACGTCTCCACGTAAACAAAATATGTGTTGTTTCTATCACAAGGCTATTCACCACAGCGACGCTTATTGTCTTCAGTGTTGTACATGGGGAGCGGGGGGGGGGGTACTCATCCAGCCAAGCGCTGTCCTACAGCCTCAACTGTTGTTTGACTTGCATCCCACTGGGATTTTTGCACACAGCGTCGGTGTACGGTGCTTTTTCTGGAATATTTTTTTGCTGTTTTTTCCTCGATTTTCCTGTTTGCGCATAGTCACTTTAAGATGTTTTCTTGTTCATGTTTTTGGTTTTTGTTTGTTGCGGTTGCACCCGATTCAAGAGCCGAATGGCTCACAGGGCTATTCCAAATAAATTAAACTGAAACTCAGTGGCGGGCTTCGTGCGTGGCCTGTGACCCAGCAACTGTGCAGGTAACGAGGGTTGGTGGTGCCGTGGGCGTGGAGGTGCCATACCCTGGCTCGCCATGAGAAGGCAGTAGAGCAGATGGCCTCATCGTCATCTCGACGTGGGCGAGAGGGCTTCGCGCTCACGTCACGTGGGGGGTTTGTCGGGTGCTGCGGTTTCGTCCCAATTGGTAAAATAAACACTCATCTTCTTGGTTCTTTCGGTAAAGTCACGTAGAAGGGAAAGAATAAAATACAATTCTCACGACGTTTCGGCCACAATGCAAGCAGCCGTCCTCAAGCGTTGTGGCCGAAACGTCGTGAGAATTGTATTTTATTATGTTTTATTTTTATTATTTTATTATTTCCCTCCTACGTGACTTTACCGAAAGAGCCAAGAAGACGAATCCCTGCAGTCACGAAAGCTTAATATCGAAATTTAAACACTCATCATTAATTGGCTGAATTTTTTTTTAACTCGATGTAGCAGGACCCTCATGAAGAAGAGTCTCACGACTCTGTGACTTACCTGGATACATTTCGGAAATGATGACATTAAATAAGTACATCATGTTTCCATAATGCGAAAAATCATTCTGAGCTGTCGAGATACCGACGAGCTGGGGCGCGTTCCGGGCGATTTGTTCAGATCTCGGCTGAGCTGAAGATGCGATAGAGACTCACCGGTAAAGTCAAATCGTTCATCAGTCCGAGGAATTCTGACGATGGGATGGGGACCGGAGCGATGCCACAGCAGGCTAACGATTATTGTGCGTGCCACGGTGGCTAGGAGATGTTAAC